CCCAGACTGCACCCCCGCCCCTGCTCGACCGGACGGGAGCCACTCCTGGAGGTCACCACCAGCCAATGAACGGAGGGCCCATGACATGAACACACACGAACACCCATCACATAAGCACACACACTCGTGACATGAGCATACACACCTGTGTCATGAACACACACACCCATGACATGAATGTGCACATGTGTGCAGAAGGATGCTGACCTAGAACAGTCACCTCTCAGAACACAACACTGACCCCAGGAGGCCTGGGCAACTCTGCCCTGGGGGTCAGCAGCAAGTACAATGGGTAGGCCCTGGACTGAAGGTGAGGGTGGGGGAAGACCCTGGGGTCTGGGTGGCTGGGCATAGCGGGGGTGGTCAATACAGAAGCCCCTGCTTGTGGCTGGTGCAGACTCAACCATGGTCAACAGCCTGCGACGTGCTGCTGATACTGCCCAGAGAGCCATCCGTGCGTCTCAGGTGGGCACCGTGCAGCGAGGACCTCTGCGGGGACCAGCATGGCAGCCGAATGAGGGCCACGTGCCTTAAGCCTAGACACAACCCGCTCCAGCCTCAACCACAGCAGTCATCGTGACAAGCCCATCGGGCAGTCCGGGCCAGCAGCCAGGCGTTAAAAGTCATGCCTAAGGCGTGGGGAGGACAGGGACATGTGGGTGTGTTCAGGAACGGGGTTGGGGGCTCAGAACGGTGGGGGTGGCGCTTGCCCGGCTCCTAACCCAGAGCTGTCTGCAACGTAAACCCCCCTCGTGGGGTGGGGCCGGCCAGCTGCCTACCTGTGGCCAGGTACATGATGTGCAGGAGCAGGTCGCGGGCCTGGACCACGTCAACAACGACGTGGGACAGGCGGCTGTTGTCCTCCATGAAGGCGGGCACCTCGGACACGGGCTGCACCACCTCCTGCATCAGGATGAAGCGCTGGGCGTCCTGCAGGCTCCGCTCCGTCAGGTTCAGGGACAGGCCCTGGTCCACGGTGCCGCACTGCAGGAAGACGTCGGGTCACATCCACCCCTGCGCTGCAGGGCCCACACCACAGCCCGGGAGCCCCTCCCATGTCAGATGGGAGCCCATCCTAATTGCAGGGTCTCCCAGACCATCCTAAAGTGAAATGACCAGAGGTAAGAAGTCCACTGAGAGTGGGTGTCGTGATTGCCCTCGTCAATGGTGTAGAGATCTGCTACAGGAGACGCTGGAGAAGCAGGGATGTTCCTTTGAGGACTGAGGTGCACCTCCTGGGCATGTGAGAGGCGCACCCTGAATCAGGGAGACCGTAGAAGAATTGATGCATTGAATGGTGCGGGACCTGGACTGCTGGAGGAGACACTGCGATATCCCGGAAGAATGATGGCCAGAGTGCTCCTTAGAGGGGAGGAGGGGGAGTCTTCACCTCACATATTAGGACGTGTTGTCAGGAGAGCCCAGTCCCTGGAGAAGGACATCGTCCTTCGTAATGTGCAAGACTGGCACTATGAGGGAAGGCCCTCAGGGAGGTGGACGGACACTGGCTGCAACAGTGGGCTGGGACACAGTAGCAATTGTGTGGATGACGCAGGCCTGGGCAGTGTTTTGTTCTATTGGGCACGGGTTCCATGGAGGTTGGAGCCACCTCGATGGCCCTTCACAACACGGACTGGGTCTCACTACGTTGGGCATGTGGTCAGGCACTGTGTGGACTTGAGCCATGCACGACATGCCCGTGAGCGGCTCTGCACGCAGGGGGGCTGGCAGACTGCGCCGGGGCTGTACTCATCTACGCTGACTTCCAAACAGATGCCTCTGGGTTTGACAAAGGTCCTCCCTGCAGGTCCCGGGGGGAGATGCCCTCGGAGCATGTGAGGTCCTGCCCAGCTCAAGCGCCTGGTGGGCACCCAGGCCGCCTTCCTCAGACACCAGCCCACACCCAAACCTGCTTCCATGCACCCCACTCTGAGGGACAATAACCCCAGGGAGCTCATATAGTCTCCTCTGACCTGCTCTCA